TTCGATAACAGTAAAATCTGTTCATTACTTGTAAGTATAAGTATGACGTATGTACCTGCAGGAGAAGGCATGTGAGCGTGCTGTGGGCATGCAGTCATTCATGGAGTCAGACCAGTGTCTGGAGGATGTCCCAGGAGCCACCATCACCCAGGAGATGTGCCTCCAGACTCACGAGCAGATAGCCCGACGTGTCAAGACCCTGGCCGACAGTACTGACATCCACCACGTGTTTATAGCCAGTGATGTGGACCCCAGACTCTCCTACATCAAGAAGAAACTGGGACCTAGTGTAAGAGATTTTTTCCTTTATTAGAGCTGGTTTGAAACGTAAAAGGAAGAATCTGCAACTGCTTGGCAGAAAAGCATGTAATGTAAATCTGACAGGGACCATTTTACGATTTCGTGACTCAAAACTTAGTCTTATATGAAGAACCAACCCCATTGTGAGTTTAATATTGTAGGTATTACAGATTAATATTAAACTTGATAGTAAAGCAGTACTTATTCGTCTGTGCACGACTTCTTCATTTTTTTCTGAAGGCACTGCCACTGTCACACAGCTACATAATACTTTCGCACGAAACGGAATCACTATGCAATTGTCTATGCCACTGAGTGTGACTCTTGCTGGTTTGCCAGCCAAACTGTGTTAGTTGTATGTACCTAAAATTTGAAACCTTGTATAGCTAGCATAGCATGTATATCTGTCTAACTGTGTACTCCTCCACTCCACATGCAGATGAATGTGCACTATCTTAACCCATCAGATGCACCCCTTGACCTAGCAGTTATGGGCAGAGCAGACTACTTCATTGGCAACTGTGTCTCGTCGTTCACAGCCTTTGTAAAGAGAGAGAGAGACATCCACCATCGTCCGACAGAGTTCTTTGGATTTGAAGACGCAGTCCTTCCTAAGAAGAACCGGGAAAGAACCGAGCTATAGAGCTATATAGGGTTCAGTCTTTGATTGTCATCCTATATAGGTGTTTTATGCGTAGTATGCGCGCATGCGCTAAAGTAGCCCAGATGAAAGGCGTGGCTGAAAGGGTAGTGGGAAGGGCTTGTTGTTGTGGGCTGTTGTGGTTGTATTTGGGGGTTCCCCCGTGTGCCAGAGATCGCGTGTTCAACACTGAGATGGCTGTTGTTCCCAGTTCCTTCCTGTCTCTTCTTGTGCTATGTGGAGGCCTCTGCTACGCAGCAGTGTCCCCTCTAAACCAGATACAGGAGAGCTACCCAGACTCCGCTGTGGTCACCAGGGTTCGACAGGCTGAGACCAGAATTGAACAGCAGCTGCAGGGAAAGTCTTCAGTGAAGAGGAAGCTCGCGCTAGACCAGATACTGCTGGATGTCGTTGCTCCCATATCGGAGGTGGATCCCCAGTTCCTCTCAGTTACGATAGACTCGGGCGACATCTCTAGGAACTGGTCTGGAATAACGTTCACTGCCCAGCGGATCATCAACATGGCCCAAGGACTGACTCCTGCCATGCTGAGGGTCGGCGGTACCAGTGGAGATTTCCTCATCTTCAACTCCTCTACTGCGGAAACAGGTAGCTAAAATCACAAATCACGTTAGCAGGAGCTTAGCTAGGTTGGTAATTCAAACACTTTTACACATAATTTTATATCTTCCAGTGCAGCAGTCAAATTTCACGATGACTCCGCAGCAGTGGGACGAAGTCAACAAGTTTGTGGAGACTGTTGGCTGGGACTTTGTGTTTGGTCTGAATGCTCTCCTTCGTACACCTTACCCCAATGGCTCTTGGGACTCTGACAATGGCAGAATGCTTCTCTCATACTCCACCTCCAAAAACTATACCGTGCAGTGGGAGCTTGGAAATGGTGCGAGACTGATGGGTGTAGTTACAAACAGAATCAGCGATAATAATATTATATTACTTTTTGCAGAGCCTGATATGTGGGGGACACCAATACCAGCCGAGGACCATGCCAAAGACTTCTTGACTCTGCGGGATCTGGTGGCAGAGGAGAAGACACTAGGGAAGATGCTCATCGGACCTGATGTAGCATACAATAGGGACTACTTCACAGAGTACGTCATAATGTATGTTTTTGTGATGTCGAAACTATTTTGTTATATTGTGCAGGTTTATACAGAGTTTACCAGAAGGAGTCCTCAGTGCCACTACCTACCACCAGTGAATACACGACAATGTGATTTTGTCATAGTTTTGGGGGCCAACTCTTTCATGAATTTAAAATATTGTGGTCCTCTGTCCTTTTGTTATGGACCACTGGATTTTTTTAATGTGGACCTCTTATACCAGCCCTCGTTATGTTTTCCTTTTCCTATAATTATGCAAAAACCTATGTCAACTACAGGTACTATGGAAATGGGAACACAGCTAAGCTGGCACAATGCTATGACGTTAACCTTCTAGACAGTTATATTCATGACGCCATCGACTTCCAAGGCACCACGGAGGCTCTGCAACCACAGGCTAATGTCTGGCTGGGAGAGACGTCCAGTTTCTATGACGGTGGTGCTCCACATTTATCAGATACATATGTGGCAGGATTTATGTAATGATGAGGAGTGTATAACATCCATGCATGTTGACCTTGGTTTCCTCTTTGTGCAGGTGGCTAGACAAGCTAGGTGTAGCAGCAGTTGTTGGTCACAAACGAGTGTTTCGACAGGATTTCATCGGTGGGAGCTATTCATTACTGGATGGAGATCAAAATCCATTACCTGTAGGTTGTGTAGTCACTACAATTGTTCTTAGAACATGAAGTATAATCTTTTGAAGGACTACTGGTTGTCTCTGCTGTACAAGAAATTGGTTGGAACCAAAGTTCTCTACATAAAAGGCAGTTTGGATTATGGACGGAACCTGAGATCCTATGCCCACTGTGCTAAACCTCCGTAAGATTAGTTATGCAGATGTGTATCTCTTTTTATGATTGTGTTTCTCCTCCAGCTACCCAGCAGGCAGTGTGGTTCTGTTGCTACTGAACACTAACTTCACCACGGCAACAGTGGAGCTCCTCAATGAGGAGCTGGCCTCCAGTTACAGAGATGTGTTCTGGCTGAGTCCACCAGCTGGGGACCTCACCTCCACCTCAGTCCTCCTGAATGGAGTGCTACTGGAGCTGGTGGACAACAGGGACTTGCCCCACCTGGTCCCAGCTGAAGACTCTCCTGGCTCCTCCTTCTCTGTTCCCAGCATCTCCTTTGGTTTTGTTGTCTTCAAAGACACTAAAATACCTGCTTGTACTTCTTAGTAGCTATTTGACATTGCAGTCAACAGACCTGTTGGGATATTAAACCAATTGGTTCGCATGCATAGGGTTACGGTATGAGTGTCCATCTGTCTGTGTTTTACATTCTTTTTTTCCCACCATGCGCCACACACCAGTGATAAAGAGACATCTAGCTACCAATGTGCACAGTGCTAGACTGGCTTAATGGAGATTCTTCTGCACTTTAAAGTTGTGACGTGAAAACCATAACAAGCCATGAATGAGATAGCTACCTTCATTTCAGAATAGCCTCATTAACCCTCGGCGCGCATGCGCAGCGAGGGTTACGGTAGTTCGGTTTGTGGGTCTGTGTGTCTGTTACTCTCAATCTCACTTCTCGAGTGTTCTTTCGTCTCACAAAGGATACCACCAACTGAACGGGCAATGAAGGTCAGAAAATACGTGGGGTTTTCTCTGAAAACGCTCCGTTGCAAAGCTAGAGAGCGAAAAAGCCAATATGCAAATACACAACGGACGGGACGGCTTACCGCGGTCTGACCGATCCGAGTGCTCTGCGTACCCCAGAGGCACCAGAAGATGCAACGCAGGGCGTGTATCGCCTCTCGCATGCTATGTAGTAGTGTAGTTAGCCCGCGAGCTGGCAAGAGACCGCGCTAAAACTAAACCCAGCCCATCAATTAGTTGGATGGCGCATGCGTTTACTTACGCGCGCGCGTAACTGTGCGCCGAGGGTTTGCACTTCAGTGCTTTTCATTTCCAGGTCATTCGTTAGGGGGGCTGAGCCCCGCCCCCCACATACCCAAATTTAAACATAAGTGAGCTGAACGGTTTGGTGGTTTTGCTATTTCAGGGCTAGCAGGTGAGTTGTTACACACTCTTTAACAGATTTTGACTCAGAATTTTGTATCTCAGAGTGTCCTATCATCTATGTTTATAAACATAAGTCCTTTAGAGTAGACAGACATCTACAGCTTGTATGCTCAAGCACTCATGACCAGCAAAGGATTGAAGCATTTTCATGATGTGACATCCCTACATCCCCTTTTATTTATAGAAATAATTTTTCCACTTGTTACAGTATCATAATTATATAAAATGCACAGTGACTGAACTAGCAGTTAGCAGTTGATAATAGTGACAGAAATAGTAGTAATCAGTTGATTTATAATATTATATAGCTCAGAAGGTCGACTTCTCAATAAGTTTGGACTCTCCTTCTTCTTCCCCCTTCTTGAACCAGGGCCAGAAGGCAAGGTGCACAGCCTACACCAGAGAGAGAGTGTTACTGGCAATGAAGAGCAATAGTGAGCGGGTCCAGGTTATACAGAACTATAGTTGGTGGCTATACTCTGCCTAGGAAGTATGCATGTTACTTGCCTAAAATAGGAGAGTGACGCCATATAGTAGTAGAGTTTTCATCAACTCCTGAGCACTAAAGTCTATTTGACTTCACCTGAGCCCGCCATAAGAAAAGTATGCCATAAGTAGAGTACGCTGTGCCTGTATAAACAGTTTACACAACCACTTTTGAGGCTCAGGCTATAAAGCTATAATGAAGAGTATATCAGAGCGTCGGTAGACGCTCTAGCTATAATAGGGATGACGCGAGTGAAATCTCACGTGATCCACGTACAAAACGCCTCAAAACTCAGCGACAATGACTCACCATGGCTTCAAAATCACTAGCAATAGTCTAGAGGCCAATACCTATGCCCCAAGACGTCCTACGTGCCCTCAGTTCCCCACGAGAGAATTCGCACTTACGCGATTTCGCGATTTTCGTGTCATCATCATCATATTCTTCTTCTTCTTCTTCAGACCCGCTAGCTCCTTACCGGAAGCAGTTGAAGCGTTGATTTTTTCACAGAACGTCTCCAAATTTGCCGGAGGTGTGCACGCATATCAAGCGATCGCTTGTTTCTTGCCGCAAGTCACTACGGTAGATCGTTGAGCTCTTCCACGGTAGTCACTTGACAACGCCATTTGCTGCTAACTCAGCATCAGTGAGCCGCATGCGCCGAGGAGGGCGTTTCCCCAATGCGGTGCGCGCGCATTACTATAGTCTCGTGCGTGAACCAGGTCTACGAGACTAAGCCAGGATGCCTGCAGAGGAACTCTTATCCTCCAGTGCCTTCTGTAAGTCAGTATACACATTTTTAACTAACTAGCCTACGTTTTGCTGATGATTTGTACGAGGAGCAACTTGGCAGTGTTGTTGCGTCTATACGCATGCGCACCGCTTAATGATGGGTTGGGCCACGGAACTCGGTCCGCGACCGTGCCAGTTTGTCGCTCTCGAACGCAGTCGTTTCAGGAAAATCGCCTAATAATTTTTCAGGTTCGCGTAGTTCTGAAGCCGTTGGTATCGCTCATTAGCCACCTCGTGGCCTGTAGTGCCAGAATAAGCGTCGACACACACACACAACCAACTACCGTAACCCTCGCTGCGCATGCGCGCCGAGGGTTAATTATGCGCCATGACGGGCGCGCGGCGAGTTTGCGTCATGCGCGCAAAGTGTTTGCGACGTCTCCGCGATGTCGTCTAGTACATTCGTGTTGGCACTCAGCCACTCATCCACATTGAGGTTGGCCCATCTATCATCTCTAAAAATAACTTTATTTTCGTTCAGCTAAACTAAGCGATAGGTCTAACCTGCGTGTCCCCCAGACCCCGCCATCTGCGCGGTGCGCGGTCGGCGTCGCAGAAGAGTCGCAAACACGTCGCGCCAGCAGAATGTTCCCAAAATCAAGCTTACTTGTGACTACCTCCCGATACGAGGTGTTGTATACTCCAGGCCAATACAAACTCCATGTTCAAGTGACAGGGAAATCAATGGCAGCCCTCTCACAGTCGCTGTGTACCCTGACATCTTACAACTAGGCCGCCCAGTGAGGACCGTCACTGGATTGAATAGACCCCGTGGCATTGCGTTTAAGCACATGATTGTCACTGCATGGGGCATCAACAAAGTGTCTATCTTCGACATCAACGGACAAATTCAATCACTTGGGTCGTATGGTAACTGATGATATACCCGAAATAAATAGTAACAGACAATAACTATTTATGTGAGCAGCGAACACAAAATGCAGAATATCAGTAGCATTGGTGTTCTAGTCAGGTGCATTGGATCCAAGCAAAGTGCAGGCACCCAGAAAGGAGAGTTAATTTTCCCCGTGGAATAACACTGTTTAACACATATATAATATAGCTATATTTGCACAACATAATATTATTATATAATTATATTTGCACAACTTGTTAAGTGTTGGTGGACACTTGAGTGGGGAGTGAAGTGAGGAATGAGTGCTCAGCCGAGTATGCCCCAAAATATTTCACACATTGCATATGAATGCAATGAAAAAGGAAAGGAGACAAGCGGAATTAAGGGGAAAATGGTGAATATAGGTATGCAAGGAGACAAGACAGGGATGACCTTATATAGTACAATGGATAATGGCTCCATACATATTTAAAACTGACATCCGTTGCTCGTGTAATTTTTACTCGACACAAGCCCTATAATTGTCGTCACTCTTACTCGTGACATGAGTGTGTTTAGTGAATGATGTAGTTTGGCTTGCAAAGGGATTCGGTAGAGGGCTAAGAATGCAGCATTGTAAAACTGGTTATTTGAGCGAACATGGCCTATACAGTCCAACTCAAGGAGTTGTCAGAGAGTACACCACCTGTCGATTACTTGTCTCATGTGCTTGTTACACAGAGGCAGCATAATATAGCTACTCATGCTTCGCGGCATTATTACAGGGCTCAGGTGGAGGAAAAATACCCTTGTTAAACTGAAAACCATGATGCACCAACACAAACGCACCAACTTTACCATTATGTACTGGCAGAGATATTTCAATGAAAGGCTGGTTTTTTGGGTGTTTTTCTTCGTAGCTGTCTCTCCTGTTTCGTTCGTGGTGTAAGATTTGTTATAGTTGTTGGTCATGCTTGTTGGTTTGTATTAACATGCCTATTTGCATAGTCCAAGTTGCTTCAGCCTATACTCTGAATACACAAAACATATCTTGAATATCATGGCATTTTCTCTCAGATAAGACTTTTTAGTCACTATGGCATTCCTAAATCACAGAGAAACAGTAACTCTTCTACGATCTATTAATGATTACAGGTGAAGTTATGCTACTAACTGATTGTATCATACACAGGCTCCTCTGTATGGGTAGGTGATGAATCAGTCTTTCTTGATGGTTTGTATCTCACACCCAGAGTTACACCATAGGCTGGATTATCCTCTGTGTACAATCTTGGCTTGGCTCTGTGATGTGATCTAAAAAGGATTTGTAAACTTCCGAAAGCATTAATGATGTTTTACCTTTTGAAAACAGTCCAGGAAATGGCAATTCCAATAATAATGATTCCGATTAATGCTACACCACTTCCAATTCCAAGTAATGCAGCGGTCTTGATTAAAGTTAGACCTGCAAACAAAGATAGGTGATTCTAGAAATTTTAAGAGAGGAAACAGTAGCAGTCATTCTTACTTGACACAGCACCTAATGTAGCCACAGTAAGAGAGGTAGCATTTCCAGGTCCCACTCTGGTGTAGGCTCTCACAGAGAAGATGAATTCAGTGGCCTCCTCAAGGTTGCTCTCTGTGGTGAAATTAGTGGCCAGAGCAGAGGAGTTCACTCTAGTCTCAGGCTCTGAGGAAACTGTTTGTCTGTAGGAAACCTCATATGCTATGATTATTCCATTAGGCATCAGTGGTGGCTCCCATGTCAGGGTTACTTGAGACGAAGAGGGAGATGCCGTGACTGCACCTACTGGACCTGGAACTAAACAACATTATAAAAATGGTACTGATAATAGTATGTTAGACATTAGCTACCATCTTCCAAAGTTTGATTTGTGGTGGGGTAACTGTATGGTCCCACGTTTCCCATCTCATTCACTACAGCTACTGTAATGGAGTAGTTGGTGTATGGAGTGAGTCCAGTCAGCATTGCCTCAGTTGATGTTACAATCAATTCTTCAGTTTGGTTTATAACTTCACTAGGCACTGCAGTGTACTTCACTGAGAATTTAACAGACAGATGACTGACTGGACCGCAGGGTCTCAGGTGGTCCCATTGGACTGAGATGACTGTTGAACTCACTGCTTCAGCTGTGACATTCACTGACAGGTCTGATGTACCTAAATCAGAGAGGGAGGATAAAGATTATTTCCACACAATCTGTAATACTAGAACAACCCCGCAATGAAAGTAAGCACAGAGTGGGGGTAGATAAAACCATTCATACTAACACGACGCGAATTGGCCCTTTGATTTTTCCATCAACTGAAATTCCATACCTAGTTTAAAAATAAATGTCTTTGATATTCCAGAGAGATGCTCTGAGGTAACTTCAACAGAAAATGTGTAGTTATAACATTCAGTGAGGTTTGTAATCAGAGCACGAGTAGAAGATGCATATACACTCTCCATCATGTCACTGTCGATCATGGAACTTTCAGTTGTGTTACTGTCAGTTGTGTCACTCTCGGTGTTTATACACTCTGTTATGTTACCATCAGTTGTGTTACTCTTAGTGATGTTACTATCAGTCATGTTATTTTCAGTTATGTTACACTCGGTCATATTGCTCATATTGTCTCCGTCACTGTAGTGTACTACATATCCAGTCACTGTGGCTCCTCCTGATGGCTGACTCCACTCCACTATCACTGACGTAGCTGATGTCTGTACTACTAACAGTATAGTTGGACTCCCAGCAACTATGACAAAATCAATTATTGTGTCACTTTGATACTTACAAAAAACAGACAAACCTTTCAGAGAGAAATTGTGTGAAGCATTAGACACTCCATTAGATGCCATACAACCATACACATCTCCATGAGTTCCATTTGTCTTGATAACCTCTGCTGAATAAGTATCATTACCTACCCACTCAACTCCTCCCTTTCCAGTTATGTTCTTCATGTCCTCCACAACACCAGATGGTACAGTGACAGACATTGTCAGTGGTCTTCCTCCAGTAGACGTGCAAATCACTCTGAATTTCCCATTGCCTCTCTCTAGGCTTTCAATACTCTCTGTAACTGACAAAACTGCATAGAGAGAGATAAACTTTCACTAGCGCATTGTACTTATTGGACATGGTTCTTGACTAATGGACAAGTTCTCTCCAGTTCCAACCAGGTATTAATAGGTTCTCTGCAGGACTACACTAGATATTTTATTTTATACCTCTTAACAACACACCCCTCTGACCCTTCTTTGTGCCAAGTACAGATATTGTTATCTCTTAGATAGCTATCAGTGCTTGCTTTATTCATGGAATCTGGGATCTTAACCCGCTATCCCCTTACCCAGTACCAGTTGAAGCACTGATTATTTCACTGAAGGTCTCCAATTTCGTCGGAGGTGTGCACGGACAGCAAGCGATCGTTTCTTTCTTGCCGCTAGTCACTACGGTAGAACATGGAGCTCTTCCATGGTCGACACTGAAGAACGCCATATTATGCTAACTCAGCACCAGTGATCCGCGTGCATGCGCAAGGCAGGGGCGTTGTCCAAAGCGCTTGCGAGCGTATTCTACCATGCGAGTTGGCAGACCTGCAGATGAACTCTGAGCCTCCAGTAAGTGTGCACATTTCCAACTGGCTAGCTTGCGGTTGATTTGCACGAAGAGCAACTTGCCAGAGTCTGCACTGTGTTACGCGAGCCTTGCGGGGCGCTCAGTCAAATGGGCCTTCATTGTACTGAACCCGATCATATCGCTATTTACCTGATTTTTCGTGCGCACGGTGGCAGAAAACGACAGACTGATAGACGGACACGTACACACAACTACCGTAACCCTCGCTGCGCATGCGCGCCGAGGGTTAACAAGGGGTCATTACACAGCAAAGTTGCACAAAGCCACATGACACCACCCCTATATCTTTGTTTTATTGTTTATAAGCAAAGTTTAATATCGAACAAAGATATAGGGATGGTGTCATGTATCTTTGTGCAACTTTGCTGTGTAATGACCCCTTGTTTCTAGTGGAAAAATCATTTCTTCAAAATGAAAGGGGGATATAGGGATGGCTTGAAGCACCAAAAAGGAAGAAACAAGGGGTCATTGCACAGCAAAGTTGCAAAAAGCTACATGACACCATCCCTATATCTTTGTTCGATATTAAACTTTGCTTATAAACAATAAAACAAAGATATAGGGGTGTCATGTAGCTTTGTGTAACTTTGCTGTGCAATGACCCCTTCTTTCTTTCTTTTTGGTGCTTCAAGCCATCCCTATATCCCCGAATAAATGATTTTCCCACTTGTTTCCACTATTTTTAACAGCTTATGACAACATTATTACAGTCACTCTGCTGTTCATGGGTATGTTGTAGATAGGCTACCGTACACAAACTGTAGTAGCTAATGCCCGGGGCTGCTAGTGCCTGAAGTAGGGGCTAAATACCGTTTTCACCTCCTTCAACAAGGATGTAATTAGATGGTTGAGGTTTCATGGGCGGGAGAACAATGAAGGCGCCCCGCATGGCTCCACCGCGCAGACTCTGGCAAGCTGCTCTTCGTGCAAATAAATATTTACTCACACTCCTTTTTAAGATCGTCCAAGCACAAGAGCTGACGAAGACCCCGACTTCAGTAAAGGTCCGTGTTGAGAGTGGAACTCCAACAGAGACAGAGGAGACGTCCTTAGCAGTAGCCACCGACTTAGTCTCATACCGGGGACGATCCAGGTAGTTAGTTTCGTTGCACTACGCGAAACACCGAAAATTAATCCGACATGTGCATATATGGAGCGCCGCGCCCTCGTCGCGCAGGGCGCAGCGAGGGTACGGTAGTGGGGTCGTCTGTCTGTATACGTCTCTAGTCTGTAGCTGTCTGTTGGAGTGTCTCTGTACTCTACATCTCACTTCTCGAGTGTTTGTTCGTCGCACAAAGGATACGACCTACTTAACGGCAACGAAGGTCAGAAATTTCGAACGGTTTCTCTGAACTGCTCCGTTGCAAGCCAGAGCGCGAAAAGGCCAATACACAACGACGGGATAGTGTACTGCAGCTGATCGATCCGCGTGACTCTGCGTACCTCGACGGCACCAGAGATGCAACGCAGGGCGTGTATCGCCTCTCGCATGCTATCTAGTTGGCGGAGCGGAAGCGAGCAGCTAACCTAGTGGTCCGAACGGCGCGATTTTGTTTCTATATATTAGAGAAGTCGGTAGACTCTCTATATAGGGATGACACGGGTGAAATCTCACGTGATCCGCGTACAAAACGACTAAAAACTCGGTGAGAATCACTCCCTAGGCCTTCAAAACATACTAGCAATAGTCTACGGGCCCATATCTACCTATACATGTCCCCCAAGACCTCATACGCACCTCCAGTCGTCCACGGGAGAATTCGCTCATACGCGATTTCACGATTTTCGTGTCATCATATTCTTCATCTTCTTCTTCTTCTTCTTCTTCTTTAAACCCGCTATCTCCTTACCAGTACCAGTTCAAGCACTGATTTTTTCACTGAAGGTCTCCAATTTCGCCGGAGGTGTGCACGGACATCAAGCGATCGTTTCTTTCTTGCCGCTAGTCACTACGGTAGATCATGGAGCTCTTCCTTGGTCGACACTGAACAACGCCATTTGCTGCTTACTCAGCATCGGTGAGCCTCGCGCATGCGCGAGGCAGGGGCGTTGTCCAATGCGCTTGCGAGCGTATTACCAGGCGAGTTGGCAGACCTGCAGAGAAACTCTCAACCTCCAGTACCTTCTGTAAGTAAGTGTGCACATTTCCAACTGGCTAGCTTGCTGTTGATTTGCACGAAGAGCAACTTGCCAGAGTCTCGCTGTGTTACGCGAGCCTCGCGGGGCACTCAGTCAAACGGGCCTTCATTGTTTGTCCCCCCCAGGTTGTAGCCTGATTACCAAAGCCTGCCCATGAAACCACAACCATGTGCAATAATCTAATTACATCCTTGTTGAAGACAATACATGAGGTGAATGCGGTATCTAGCCCCTGCTTCAGGCACCATTATAGCTACTACTTTCAACAGTTACAATTTGTCTATGGTAGCCTATCTACAACATACCCATGAACATCAGAGTGACTATAACAATAAATGTAGTGTTGTCATAAGCTGTTAAAAAAATAGTGGAAACAAGTGGAAAAATCATTTCTTCAAAATGAAAGGGGGATATAGGGATGGCTTGAAGCACCAAAAAGGAAGAAACAAGGGGTCATTACACAGCAAAGTTGCACAAAGCTACATGACACCATCCCTATATCTTTGTTTTATTGTTTATAAGCAAAGTTTAACCCTTTGGACACCATGGGTATCTCCTTAAATAAGCAGAAATTGATGTATAATATATTAACGCCTAGTATTATAGACATGATAATACATTCTTATGGACTTATGGAGGCTCTGGGCATATACATGCCCGTGGCTTGCTAAGGGTTAATATCGAACAAAGATATAGGGATGGTGTCATGTAGCTTTGTGCAACTTTGCTGTGTAATGACCCCTTGTTTCTTCCTTTTTGGTGCTTCAAGCCATCCCTATATCCCCCTTTCATTTTGAAGAAATGATTTTTCCACTTGTAATAATTATGTCACCGTAAGTCGTCCAACTGGGCATGCTCCAGCAGTACGCGCGCGCGCGCTAGAAGAAGGGGAAGAGCAAGGAGAGGGACCGAGAGGGAAGGATGGGTGGAGTGAGAGGGAGGGAGGCAGGAGGAAAGAGAAAAGGAGCTAAGGATGGGGACAGGATGGGGGAAGGAGGAAGAGTACGGAGGAGACCGCGAGAGCAGAGGGAGAAGAAAGGAAGAAATGGACGAATGGAAGTAGAGAGGAATGAGGGGCGGACAGGCAAGGCGGGAGCGAAGAGCAGGGGACTCACATGAACGGCTGCGCGGCGGCGGCTCTCGCACCGCGGGCGCGAGCGGGGGCTTCCGCCCGCTCCGGCCCCACCGCAACGCTGGGGCGCCGGTGCCCCTTGCAGCACCTTTTTTTTACCCGGGGGGGGGCGCCGCGCGCCCGCCCCGGCGCGCGGACGAGGGGGAGGGAGGGAACAGGAGAGGGGAGCGGGGAAGATGAGACGAGCAGGAAGGAAAAAGGGGAGAGAGGGAGCAGTGAACGCGAATAGGGCGGGGGCCCCAAACCAGGGAAACGAGAGAAGGAGGAGAGGGAAGGAGAGAGATGGAGAGCAGAATAGGAAAAGGAGATTAGGAAGGAATCGGAGTAGGAGAGGTAAGTGTGGAAGGAAGAGGAGAGAAGGGAGGGGAGCGGAAGGCAGAAAAAAGACGAGGGCGGGGAGAAAGGACGGACAAAGGGTAGAAGGAGGAGGGCAGAGATAACAAAAGACAGACAGATGGGAGTAAAAGGAAGCAGAAGCAGGAGGGGAAAATGGAGAGGGGGAGCGGAGAACGAAAGGGAGAGAGGGCAAGGAAGGACGAAAGGCGGAGCGGAGCATAGGACGAAGCAGGGACTGAGAGGAGGAGAGAATGAAACAGGAAACCAGCGGGGGAGAGCAGCCGGCGAAAGAATATGGGCACGCGCGGCCCGGCAGACTGCGGCGCGGCGCGGAGGCGGCGGGCTGCCCGCAGCCTGCTGCGGGAATGGAGGGGGGGGGGAGGGGCCGGGCAGCCCAACGCCGCCCGGCTTCTTGAGCTTTGCTCGGCCGGGCGCGCGCGGGCGGGGGCCGGGCTGGGGCGCTGCCCGCTTGGCCTTCGCGCTCACGCCCCGCCCTGGCCCGCACGGCGGCCGGGGCGGCCCTCGCCGCTCCGCTCGAGAGCCGGCGCGAGCGCGGGCGGGCGCCACCCGCCCCGGGGCGCCGGCCCCTGCGCCTCGGCGCCCCTCGCGGCCCTTGCTCATTGCCGCCCGCCGGGCTGGCCGCCGCCCGGCCTCGACGCGCTTGGACGGCCCTCTGGAGGGTTGAGAATGAGAACAAGAAGGGGGAGGAGGAAGGAGAGAGAGGGGCGGAAGAGGACGGAAGGAAAAGGCGGGAGAAGGGGCCAAGGAGGCAGAGGGCGAGAAGAGGGGGGAGCAGGGGATGGAAAAGAAAATAGGGAGCCAAGGCGAGAGAGATGGGAGAAGGGAGAGAGGAGTGGTACAAGGGGAATAGGGGGCGAGAAGAAGAGGAAGCAGCAGGGCACGAGAGAGGGAAAGGAGGAAGCGGAGACAGAAGCAAGGAAAGAGGAAGGAAGAGGTCGCCAGCTGGAGGGAGCAGGTGGGAGGGGGCGTGAGATGAAGGGCAAGAAGGGATTGTAAGAGAAGCGGAAGGCTGAGAAGGGCGGAGGAGGGAAGGGGGGGGCGGGGCGCATGGAGGCGGAGAGGGAAGGAGGGCGGAGCGGCCGGGGGGGCCACCCTGGGCTGGCCGGGGGCCACAGACGGTGCCGTAGCGGCGACGCCCGCCTTGCCGCGCGAGCGGCGCTAGCCGCGAGGCGACGGCGGGCGGGACGTCGGCAGGCGGGCGCGGCGCCCCCGGCGCTGGATCCTCGCGGCTTCCACGCGGGCCTGCGGCACGGGCAGACGCCGCTCCCTGCGGGCGCCCGGCGGCCGCGCATGCGCCTGGGCGAATGGAGAGGGAGGGAAGGGCTGTGCGAGATCGAAGGGGAAATGGGGAGGCGCGCAGGGAAGAAAAGGAGAAGCAGAGAAGGAGAGAAGAAACGCAGGCAGCGAACGCCCCCCCCCGTCTAAAATTGCGTGCGGGCGGGGCGCCGGGCGACGGGGGTACGGACGCGGCGCCCAGCATTGCGACGCCGGGGAGGCCCCTGGGCCGCCAGGGGGGCCGGCTCAACTTGGGGAATGGGAGGAGAATGACGGAGATGGAGCATGGACAAGAAGAAAAAGCTGCAACAAGACGAGGAGCAACAGCGGTGGATCCGCGCAGGCAAGGATCTAGCATGCGAGGGGGGGAGGACGAGGCGACAGCCGAGAGGGAAAGGAGCGGCCTGGAGGCTGAGGGGGACTCCGGCACTGCGAATGGAGCGGGGCGGGGGGGGCTGGCTGGCGGCACGCTGCAGCGGAGGAGGCGAGGGGAGGAAGATAAGGGAAGCCGGAGCGCCGCGGAGGAGAAAAAGGGAGAGGAGGAGGGAAAAAGAGAAGACGAATAGGCAGAAGGGAGGGGAATGAGGCGGAAGAGAAAGAGGAGAGAGGAGAGGATTGGAAAAGAGAGAAGGGATAAGAGAAAATTATAGGAGGGAAAAAGGAAGAAGGAAGAAAAGACAGAAATGAGAGAGAGAATGGAGGAGAAAGATAGGAAGAGGAAATGAGAGAGGGAAAAAGAAGAAGCAGAATGGAGAGGCAGGGAGAGAGCGATACGAGGAGAATAGGGAGAGAGAGAAATAGGGATCGGAGAAAAATTGAAGAGCGATGAAGCTGAAGGGAAGCATAAGGAGATGGGAGGATAAAGAAGGACAGATAGCGAGCAGAGAAAAGAAAATAAAAGCTGGAAGGGAGACGGGCGAGGCGATATTGCGATAGGGAGGAGAGGACAGGGAACAGAGGGAGAGAGATGAGAGATAGAGGAAAGATGAGAGGGGTGAAAAGGAGGGGATGGGAGGAAAGGGAAAATTAGGGAGGGAGAGGAGGGAAGAGGCAGGGAGAAGCGCAGAGATTGGGGAAGAGAAACGGACGCGGAAGGTGCGAGATGGGCGGCTGAGGAGGTGAGGGAAGAAATATCGCGCACGCAGCCGCCGTGCAAAAGCCGAGAGACCACCGCGAGAGAGCTCGGAGGCGCGGCCGCCAGCGCACTGCAGCGATGGCGGGGCGGCGCGCGCGCGCGGGCGCGCGGGCTGCGCGGGGCCGGGCCGCGGCTCCTTCCGGGCGCGGCCGGCGGCGCTCGGCGGGGCGGCTGGGCGGGGACTTCACCCGGCTGCGGCGCTTCTTTTTATCCGAAAGGGATTTCAAATGTTTCATAGGCTGCCTGAATCGAGCAGAGGAACGCAACACGACAGGCCACGAAAACATACCGCTGAAGCGAGAATTGACCTGCAACAGTCCACGACGAGAGAGAGTTTTGCCACTTGTTCCCTATCCTGCAAGACCAATCAGATTGCCGGATAGCCGATTCTCGCTGTCGTCTGACGTTTTTGACTCGACTCGAATGTTCTACTGCGCTCTGTCTAAAAGGTTGTTTCGGCCTACTTGGTCCTGTGCAATGTATCTCACTGTTTTGTGCACACACAAGAGTGACTCATACGATTAGACCCCATTTGTAAGCTCGCTTCCGCTCGCCAAAAATGCCATGCATTCGCCTACTAGTACAGTATATAGTGTAGTTAGCCCGCGTCAGACTGCGCGAGCTGGCAAGACCCCACGTTGAAAGTAAACCCAGCCCATAAATTAGTGGTACGGCGCATGCGTTTACTTACGCGTGCGCGTCACAATGCGCCGAGGGTTTGCACTACAGTGCTTTTCATATTTTTAAGTACCCAGTTTTCATTCAGGTATACACCTTTTATTTGGGTACGGGGGCTTTTCTGTGTTGCAAAAAGTTGCATGAAGCCTACAAAACCAAATAGTCCACTAACTAACTCTCTATCAGTAACGTAATATCTATCCAGTCAGTTGTCCTCTCCAGGGATGGCCTCGTACACCTCCTCCTCAGACTCAGGGGGTTTGGGGAGAGACTGCTGGGAGGGAGGACGATGAGGAGGAGGTGAGGGACAAAGGATAATATCGTATCCTCTATCGTCCCCAGCTCTCAGTGGGATCTCATAATACGTCTCAGCAATCTTCCCCTCCTGCTTTACTGTGTGGTAGGCAGAGTTGGTGGAGGTTGGAATGACTCCAGGAGAACCTGGCACTAGACTCATCTCAAACCTGGGGGAATGAAGATAAAGAGCTACTATGTAGCCCAGAATAATGTTAGGAGGAACAACAGCCATAGCATTCCTCACTCACAGTGAATGTTGACATCTAATGCCATCTAGCACATGTGTTTACATACTGATAAAACCAGTAGCTACTTTTCGTTGAACAAACCTTTCAGCATTCTTTGTAGTCAGTCGACGATTCTTGAGGATCAGAGCAGCAATAGTGTGAAGGACTGAGTGGGAACACAGACTCACTAGTTGTATAGGTACTAATAGGAACAGTTGGACGCAGCCCTTCACCAATATCCACTAGATAGAGTAGCTGGCTCACTACTGTGTTGTAATTCCTCACCCCTTTGAGCACTTATCACCACTCTTCTCTACCTCCCACTGTTGTACCTCACTCAAAGGGCCACCATATGCCATGCCCACAGCTGTTAATAGCATCTTCCTCTTCAGTTACTACAACCACCTATTACTCCCTCACATCCACCCCCACTCTTCCACCTGTCTTTCCTCCTCACCATTGAGGCAGCTACTGAGCCCTCAGGAGGCTGTGTGTAAGATAATCATTTCGCCACCTACCACTCCGAGACCTCTCTTCGCCGCTACGGCCGCGCTCTACCACAAATAGTTACAATGGTTACCACAATAGCAACGACAATGATGAGTACAATTGCCACAGCAACCCCTCCAATAACGGCGGTAGTATTGCCATTTTTCGCAGCAGAGTTCTGAGAGGAGAGAGTAGGATCCTCTGTAGCAGAGTCTACAGTTGAAGTCTCTTTGGTTGGAGTCATACTGGGAGGCAGAGTTTGGGTGAGGGAAGGTTTAGGTTCATTGGGTGGTGGGGAAGGTTTAGAGCACTCTGGATCACTGAGAGAAGAGATGGTCACTGAGCAGTGGGAGTCTACAGTCATCAGTACTCTGGTCACAATGATGCTGGCCCCGCCTCCTCTCACCCACTCTTCTATCAGAGAGACGAGGGAATCACTGTCTGTCTCAGAGGTCCCCTCAAGTCTGGCTCGATACGTCAGGAATGACGGAGATTCCTCGAAACAGGAAAACGACTGTTCATCCAACGTATCACTACTACATTCCGTGCATCCTGCTTTCAATATCTGTATGACTTTAGTTTCAATGTCTTTTAATTTCTGCTCTGTAAGTGTTGCCTACAGTGATAGTGTTCACACAGAATTCAATCAAGTCAAGAAGTTAGCATGATACTTACTATCACGTTTGGGCAAGGCAATACTCCTTTAAGTCGCAGATGAATATAGGCATCTGAAAAAGATATCGAGCAGTCAAATTGTGTTTAAAACAAGTTTCTTACAGTCTTGCTGGGTAGTAAAGGTGTATGTAGCAGGAGGTCCAGATCCCTGACTATTGTTAGCAGTCAGAGAACAGGAGTAGAGAGTGTTGGGAGAGAAGCCAGTCACTGATAGAGAGCCAGACGACTGGGAGGAGGGGGACTGGGGAGGGAGGAAGAGGAGGGAGAGGGAGAGCAGGAGAGGGTGTAGTTGGTGATGACTCCATTTTGCTGGGTGGGAGGTGGGGGAGACCAGGAGAACTCGGCTTATCTTTCTACAGCTACTGCCCCAAACATCTCTGGAGAACCTGAGGGAGCTGTTACACAAACTCAAGTCATTCTTCTAAACGCTACTTTTGACCTCTCAGCCTCGATTTATACGATTGATTGCATCACTTTACCCCTTCTGAGTATCTGCTTGTAGTCTGAAAAGGATGTGTGAGTATATTATAGCTATATAAACAAACAGTGCACAATTTTGAAAGTTTATATATGAGGGAATAGTGCATGAGTCTAATTAAAGAGTATTATAAGTACTGAACAAATCTACAGTCCTACAGTATACGTTCACTTTTCTTCTACTGGCATCATCTCATACATCTTCTCTTCCTCAATCGGTCCAATATCTGACGATGATGAGATGGTAGGGGCACCCCCTATCCTCTCTGGCTTTCTCTTTGTCGTCCCATAGGCTGTATTAGTAGCTGTGTGTATAGCAGTCCCTTCTGTTGAAGTTTTCTTGATAGTGTGAGGACGATTCCTTAGAACTAGAGCAACTACAGCTATAATGGTAGCTGCAGTGATTAGAGCTATGGCAATTGCAACTGCCCCTCCAATAATTGCTGGGGTGTTTTCAGCACAACTCTGAGTAGATGAAATGGCGGAAGTTTGAGGTAATGTGAGGTGTAGGAGATGTTGTAGTTGGTCGAGAGCACTCTGGTTCACCAGGAGAAGAGATGGCCACTGAACACCGTGAATCTACAATCATTAGTACTCCAGTCACAATGACGCTGGCCCCGCCTCCTCTCACCCAGGCCTCTATCAGAGAGATGAGGGAGCCACTATCAGTAGCTGAGGTCCCTTCCAGTCTGGCTCGATAGGTCAGGAATGACGGAGATTCCTCAAAACAGGAAAACGACTGTCTGTTTATGTTTTCACTTGCACATTCGGCACAGGAAGCCTCCAGCTGCTCCAATACTGCAGCTCTAACATCATCCAGTTTCTGCTCTGTGAGTGTTGCCTATAGTGCAGAGGCCTCTATATATAAAGCCACAAAACTCACCAATTGATAGATATTTCACCCTTACTCTCCCCTTCTATATTTTAAAAGCAATGTGCCGTAGTTAAACTTCGGGCCTTCCCTCACTGCCTTTCCTAAGTAAAAACTTACTATTACTTCCGTGCAAGGTAACCCTCCTTTAAGCCGCAGTTGAAAGTAGGTATCTGAGAGATTTTTCAGTGGTGAATGGTTGCTCTGTTAATTTTGTTAGCTTACAGCTGAGGTTAGCTCTAGCAGGAGGCCCCGAGCCCCAGAGGTTGTTAGGAGTAAGAGAGCAGAAGTAGAGAGTGTTGGGAGAGAAGCCAGTGGCAGTGAGGCTCCCAGACTGGGAGGAGGGGGACTGGGGGAGGGAGGAGGGGGAGGGGGAGCAGGAGAGTGTGTAGTTATCAATGGCTCCATGGAGATGAGTCACGTGGGGAGACCAGGAGAACACCACATATCTCTCTCCAGCTACTGCCTTGAACATCTCTGGAGCATTCGTGGGAGCTATAGAAAATGTCGAGAGGAAAAAAAATGTTTTTGGATAGAAAGAACATACCTTCCAGTAAAAACGCTCTCATCACCAAAGCGTTGGATGGCTTGTTATTAGCTACAGTACATGTGTAGAGTCCAGGCAGTCTCCCAGTCACAGTCAGAGTGTGGGTGTACTGTGCAGTCACTGGGTCATTTTAACACAGTCTCGGTTCCTTGGGTGACAGTGGTGGAGTCTCTGGTCCAAGTGACAGTGGTAGCAGGTCCACCAGTGGAGATACAGGCCAGGGTGAACTGAGGACTGGGTCCACGGAGGGCTTCGGAGAATTCCATTTCGCCTGATATTTCAACGTCTCCTACAATAACAGTTGTGACAATCATAACAGCCCTGGCCTCGATACACCACTTATTCGCTGAGATCTAAACTAAGCAACACAGACACTGCATGACATAACTATTAGGTGGTTACCTCTATTAGCAGTATACAGTCCCACATAGACTGTGTCTCTCACTGAGGTGTCAGTACCATCATGGACAGCATTAGTTGGAATTTCACAGCGATAGATACCAGTTGGTGAGTTCGCACCACTGTTACGACGTATGTCAACTCTCTGGGCCTCACGAGTCTCAAAGGTATCAACATCAGATGCAGGGTGAGGCAGTCTAGTTCCATCAGGGAAATACCAGTCTCCACGATGAGGACCCTGCTCACTACTACAACATGTGACCAGGTCAGTGATACACTGAACACCTTCACTGCCATCAAATTCAGGTCTCCCCACTTGACTGAGGTCCACATAGGAATGGTTGGCCAGAGTCTGGCTCATGAAGGAGAGACGGGGAAAGGTCTGAGCGTGGACCTCCACCAGAGACCAGAGGAGACTCAGCAGTAGTACCCACACACTCATACTTCACCTACAGTGAATGGATACGCGACTCTATTGCCCTTGTAGCTGACTCTCCAGCTATAATACAAACTCAGCAGGCTTTCCCCCGCCGCGTAGGCACCAATGTAGATACTCTATACTTATACTGTAGTCATTTCAACCAAACTGAAACTCACAATGGTCAATGGAGCTTGGAAATCAGGAGACTTTTAGTAACAGAGCCATGCTTTCCGCTTCCGTATATAAAACCGCAAAGCGCATGCGTGCGTTGCGTAATAATACTGCGCAGGCGTGTATCGAATAATGTCAGCGAAACGGTATAATTATACACAAGTTAGTTCACGCAGTTGTCCTCATTCATTTCTCATCCCCAGAACCAAGGCTGGCCTCAGCCTCCTCCTCATCTCCTGGGGGGTCAGAAATTGGGATGACAGGCTATAGCACATGACATTACATCATACATGCTGTAGTAGAGTAAATAAAGGTCACCTTATAATATTTCCCTGTGGAGGTCACCATCCACTATATACACTGCTCATTATACTACTCCTCTAGTACACATTCTACTGTCCATTCTACAAATCTGCTAATTTAGCAGTACCCACAAAGAGTCATGGTAAGGTCAAAAGCCAGAGGATCATGATGTTGGCTGTATGGCTGAGTACTCTATACCTTGAGGGAAGTCTTGATGTATGTTCCAAGCTGTTTCACATATATCAGAGTTGAGTGTCAATCCTTTAGAAGTCTTGTTCAGAATGCTAGCCGGAATACCTTAGCCTGGTCAACAAGATAAATGAGCTATCAGGGCAACAGCATTCATTTTATTATACATACATGTCTTACACATGACCTCTTACAGGGGCACTTCTGAAGCTAGGTTTGGCATGCTTTGATCAATAATGTAGTTTCAAGCGTTTATTAGAGAGTCGGTAGATTCTCTATATTGGGATGACGCGGGTGAAATCTCACGTGATCCGCGTACAAAACGACTAAAAACTCGGTGAGAATCACTCCCTAGGCCTTCAAAACATACTAGCAATAGTCTACGGGCCCATATCTACCTATACATGTCCCCCAAGAGCTCATACGCACCTTCAGTCGTCCACGCGAGAATTCGCTCATACGCGATTTCACGATTTTCGTGTCATCATATTCTTCATCTTCTTCTTCTTCTTCTTCTTTAAACCCGCTATCTCCTTACCAGTATATACCAGTTCAAGTTCAAGCACTGATTTTTTCACTGAAGGTCTCCAATTTCGCCGGAGGTGTGCACGGACATCAAGCGATCGTTTCTTTCTTGCCGCTAGTCACTACGGTAGATCATGGAGCTCTTCCGTGGTCGACCTGAACAACGCCATTTGCTGCTTACTCAGCATCAGTGATCCGCGCGCATGCGCAAGGTAGGGGCTGTGCTTGCGAGCGTATTCTACCGGGCGAGTTGGCAGACCTGCAGAGGAACTGTCAGCCTCCAGTACCTTCTGTAAGTAAGTGTGCACATTTCCAACTGGCTATCTTGCTGTTGATTTGCACGAAGAGCAACTTGCCAGAGTCAGCGCGGTGTTACGCGAGCCTTGCGGGGCACTCAGTCAAATGGCCTTCATTGTTTGTCCCCCCAGGTTGTAGCCTGATTACCAAAGCCTGCCAATGAAACCACAACCAAGTGCAATAATCTAATTACATCCTTGTTGAAGACAATACATGAGGTGAATGCAGTATCTACCAGCCCCATTAGCTACTACTTTCAACAGTTACTATGGTAGCCTATCTACAAATGAACATCAGAGTGACTGTAACAGTGTTGCCATAAGCTGTTAAAAATAGTGGAAACAAGTGTAAAAATCATTTCTTCAAAATGAAAGGGGGATATAGGGGTGGCTTGAAGCACCAAAAAGGAAGAAACAAGGGGTAATGACACAGCAAAGTTGCACAAAGCTACATGGCACCATCCCTATATCTTTGTTTTTATTGTTATATATAATAAGCAAAGTTGAATATCAAACAATATCAAACAAAGATATAGGGATGGTGTCATGTAGCTTTGTGCAACTTTGCTGTGTCATTACCCCTTGTTTCTTCCTTTTTGGTGCTTCAAGCCATCCCTATATCCCCCTTTCATTTTGAAGAAATGATTTTTACACTTGTGTAAATGTAGCTCCATAAAACAATGCAGTACCATTAACAATGGCCCTACAATGTACGCATCAAAATACGCATCACAAATTGAAAAATACTGTTTTACACATAAAATTAGAGACTAACCGATTTGAGGTCGTGTAAAGTTCTTGGGAGACCTGGAGAGCGTGGCTGGCTCCGCTCTTGAGGTGGTGGGGGAGAAACGAGGTGGCGGAGGAGACGGACTGAAACGCAGTGTGCACCTTCTCGCTCAGCTGACGAAGAAGTAAAGGTCTGTTGAGAGTGGAACTCCAACAGAGACCAGAGGAGACTCAGCAGTAGCACCGACTTAGTCATACCGGGACGATCCCAGTTAGTTTAGTTGCACACGCAACACCGAAAATTTAATTCCGCATGTGCATATATGGAGCCCGCGCCCCTCGTCGCGCATGCGCAGCGAGGGTACGGTAGTTGGGTCGTCTGTCTGTCTACGTCTCTAGTCTGTAGCTGTCTGTTTGAGTGTCTGTTACTCTACATCTCACTTCTCGAGTGTTTGTTCGTCTCACAAAGGATATGACCTACTTAACGGGCAACGAAGGTCAGAAATTTCGAACGGTTTTCTCTGAAACTGCTCCGTTGCAAAGCCAGAGCGCGAAAAGGCCAATACACAACGGACGGGATAGTTTACTGCAGTCTGATCGATCCGCGTGCTCTGCGTACCTCGGAGGCACCAGAAGATGCAACGCAGGGCGTGTATCGCCTCTCGCATGCTATCTAGTTGGCGAGCGGAAGCGAGCTAACCTAGTGGTCCGAACGGCGCGATTTTTCTATATATTAGAGAGTCGGTAGACTCTCTATATAGGGATGACACGGGTGAAATCTCACGTGATCCGCGTACAAAACGACTAAAAACTCGGTGAGAATCACTCCCTAGGCCTTCAAAACATACTAGCAATAGTCTACGGGCCCATATCTACCTATACATGTCCCCCAAGACCTCATACGCACCTCCAGTCGTCCACGGGAGAATTCGCTCATACGCGATTTCACGATTTTCGTGTCATCATATTCTTCATCTTCTTCTTCTTCTTCTTCTTCTTCTTTAAACCCGCTATCTCCTTACCAGTACCAGTTCAAGCACTGATTTTTTCACTGAAGGTCTCCAATTTCGCCGGAGGTGTGCACGGACATCAAGCGATCGTTTCTTTCTTGCCGCTAGTCACTACGGTAGATCATGGAGCTCTTCCTTGGTCGACACTGAACAACGCCATTTGCTGCTTACTCAGCATCGGTGAGCCTCGCGCATGCGCGAGGCAGGGGCGTTGTCCAATGCGCTTGCGAGCGTATTACCAGGCGAGTTGGCAGACCTGCAGAGAAACTCTCAACCTCCAGTACCTTCTGTAAGTAAGTGTGCACATTTCCAACTGGCTAGCTTGCTGTTGATTTGCACGAAGAGCAACTTGCCAGAGTCTACGCTGTGTTACGCGAGCCTCGCGGGGCACTCAGTCAAACGGGCCTTCATTGTTTGTCCCCCCAGGTTGTAGCCTGATTACCAAAGCCTGCCCATGAAACCACAACCATGTGCAATAATCTAATTACATCCTTGTTGAAGACAATACATGAGGTGAATGCGGTATCTAGCCCCTGCTTCAGGCACCATTATAGCTACTACTTTCAACAGTTACAATTTGTCTATGGTAGCCTATCTACAACATACCCATGAACATCAGAGTGACTATAACAATAAATGTAGTGTTGTCATAAGCTGTTAAAAAAATAGTGGAAACAAGTGGAAAAATCATTTCTTCAAAATGAAAGGGGGATATAGGGATGGCTTGAAGCACCAAAAAGGAAGAAACAAGGGGTCATTACACAGCAAAGTTGCACAAAGCTACATGACACCATCCCTATATCTTTGTTTTATTGTTTATAAGCAAAGTTTAACCCTTTGGACACCATGGGTATCTCCTTAAATAAGCAGAAATTGATGTATAATATATTAACGCCTAGTATTATAGACATAATAATACATTCTTATGGACTTATGGAGGCTCTGGGCATATACATGCCCGTGGCTTGCTAAGGGTTAATATCGAACAAAGATATAGGGATGGTGTCATGTAGCTTTGTGCAACTTTGCTGTGTAATGACCCCTTGTTTCTTCCTTTTTGGTGCTTCAAGCCATCCCTATATCCCCCTTTCATTTTGAAGAAATGATTTTTCCACTTGTAATAATTATGTCACCGTACGTCGTCCAACTGGGCATGCTCCAGCAGTACGCGCTTCTTTTTATCCGAAAGGGATTTCAAAATTTTCATATGCTGCCTGAATCGAGCAGAGGAAACGCAACACGACAGGCTCGAACACCTCCGAATCGAGAATTGCTGCACAGTCCAGCGACGAGAGAGATTTTGCCACTTGTTCCCTATTCCTGCAAGACCAATCAGATTGCCGGATTATGCCTGATTCTCGCTGTCGTCTGACTGTTTTTGACTCGACTCGAATTGTCTACTGCGCTCTGGTCTAAAAGGTTGTTTCGGCCTACTTGGTCCTGTGCAATGTATCTCACTGTTTTGTGCACACACAAGAGTGACTCATACGATTAGACCCCATTTGTAAGCTCGCTTCCGCTCGCCAAAAATGCCATGCATTCGCCTACTAGTACAGTATATAGTGTAGTTAGCCCGCGTCAGACTGCGCGAGCTGGCAAGACCCCACGTTGAAAGTAAACCCAGCCCATAAATTAGTGGTACGGCGCATGCGTTTACTTACGCGTGCGCGTCACAATGCGCCGAGGGTTTGCACTACAGTGCTTTTCATATTTTTAAGTACCCAGTTTTCATTCAGGTATACACCTTTTATTTGGGTACGGGGGCTTTTCTGTGTTGCAAAAAGTTGCATGAAGCCTACAAAACCAAATAGTCCACTAACTAACTCTCTATCAGTAACGTAATATCTATCCAGTCAGTTGTCCTCTCCAGGGATGGCCTCGTACACCTCCTCCTCAGACTCAGGGGGTTTGGGGAGAGACTGCTGGGAGGGAGGACGATGAGGAGGAGGTGAGGGACAAAGGATAATATCGTATCCTCTATCGTCCCCAGCTCTCAGTGGGATCTCATAATACGTCTCAGCAATCTTCCCCTCCTGCTTTACTGTGTGGTAGGCAGAGTTGGTGGAGGTTGGAATGACTCCAGGAGAACCTGGCACTAGACTCATCTCAAACCTGGGGGAATGAAGATAAAGAGCTACTATGTAGCCCAGAATATGTTAGGAGGAACAACAGCCATAGCATTCCTCACTCACAGTGAATGTTGACATCTAATGCCATCTAGCACACGTGTTTACATACTGATAAAACCAGTAGCTACTTTTCGTTGAACAAACCTTTCAGCATTCTTTGTAGTCAGTCGACGATTCTTGAGGATCAGAGCAGCAATAGTGTGAAGGACTGAGTGGGAACACAGACTCACTAGTTGTATAGGTACTAATAGGAACAGTTGGACGCAGCCCTTCACCAATATCCACTAGATAGAGTAGCTGGCTCACTACTGTGTTGTAATTCCTCACCCCTTTGAGCACTTATCACCACTCTTCTCTACCTCCCACTGTTGTACCTCACTCAAAGGGCCACCATATGCCATGCCCACAGCTGTTAATAGCATCTTCCTCTTCAGTTACTACAACCACCTATTACTCCCTCACATCCACCCCCACTCTTCCACCTGTCTTTCCTCCTCACCATTGAGGCAGCTACTGAGCCCTCAGGAGGCTGTGTGTAAGATAATCATTTCGCCACCTACCACTCCGAGACCTCTCTTCGCCGCTACGGCCGCGCTCTACCACAAATAGTTACAATGGTTACCACAATAGCAACGACAATGATGAGTACAATTGCCACAGCAACCCCTCCAATAACGGCGGTAGTATTGCTATTTTTCGCAGCAGAGTTCTGAGAGGAGAGAGTAGGATCCTCTGTAGTAGAGTCTTCAGTAGAAGTCTCTTTGGTTGGAGTCATACTGGGAGGCAGAGTTTGGGTGAGGGAAGGTTTAGGTTCATTGGGTGGTGGGGAAGGTTTAGAGCACTCTGGATCACTGAGAGAAGAGATGGCACTGAGCAGTGGGAGTCTACAGTCATCAGTACTCGTCACAATGACGCTGGCCCCGCCTCCTCTCACCCACTCTCTATCAGAGAGACGAGGGAGCTCACTGTCTGTCTCGAGGTCCCCTCAAGTCTGGCTCGATACGTCAGGAATGACGGAGATTCCTCGAAACAGGAAAACGACTGTTCATCCAACGTATCACTACTACATTCCGTGCATCCTGCTTTCAATATCTGTATGACTTTAGTTTCAATGTCTTTTAGTTTCTGCTCTGTAAGTGTTGCCTACAGTGATAGTGTTCACACAGAATTCATAAGTCAAGAAGTTAGCATGATACTTACTATCACTTTGGGCAAGGCAATACTCCTTTAAGTCGCAGCTGAATATAGGCATCTGAAAAGATATCGAGCAGTCAAATGTGTGTTTAAAAACAGCTTACAGTCTTGCTGGGTAGTGAAGGTGTATGTAGCAGGAGGTCCAGATCCCTGACTATTGTTAGCAGTCAGAGAACAGGAGTAGAGAGTGTTGGGAGAGAAGCCAGTCACTGATAGAGAGCCAGAGACTGGGAGGAGGGGGACTGGGGGAGGGAGGAGGGGGAGGGGGAGCAGGAAAGGGTGTAGCTGGTGATGACTCCATTTTGCTGGGTGGGAGGTGGGGGAGACCAGGAGAACTCCACTTCTCTCTCTCCAGCTACTGCCCCAAACATCTCTGGAGAACCTGAGGGAGCTGTTATACACACAAACTCAAATTAAGCGTAAGAAATCTCCAAATTGTTTTTACCAGCCTCATGAGTGGTTATACTGGTAAAAACTGAAATATTGCTGGAATTCTCAGCTTACAATCTTCTTCTGTAGTGAAAGTGACAACAGCAGGAGGTCCAGATCCCTGGCTATTTTCAGCAGTCAGAGAACAGGAGTAGAGAGTGTTGGGAGAGAAGCTAGTGGCAGTGAGGCTCCCAGACTGGGAGGAGGGGGATTGGGGGAGGGAGGAGGGGGAGGGGGAGCAGGAGAGGGTGTAGCTGGTGATGACTCCATTTTGCTGGGTGGGTGGTGGGGGAGACCAGGAGAACTCCACCTCTCTATCTCCAACTACTGCCCCAAACATTTCTGGAGCATTGGGAGCTGTTTCATATATTAACATTAAGGTACGGTAGTTTTTTAAAATTATTAAGGCATATTTTTCACCTGTTACATTTAAACTAGCTGAATCATTGGATGGCTTGTTATTAGCCACAGTACAGTTGTAGAGTCCAGGCAGTCTCCCAGTCACAGTCAGAGTGTGGGTGTACTGTGCAGTCACTGGGTCATTCAACACAGTCTCAGTTGTTCCTTGGGTGACAGTGGTGGAGTCTCTGGTCCAAGTGACAGTGGTAGCAGGTCCACCAGTGGAGATACAGGCCAGGGTGAACTGAGGACTGGCTCCATTCAGGTCTGAAACCTCCGAGAATACTATATCTCCTGATATCGCAACATCTCCTATGATAACAGTTGTGACAATCATAACAGCCCTGGCCTTGATACACCATTTATTCTCTGAGATCTAAACTAAGCAACACAGACCCAGCATGACATAACTACTAGGTGGTTACCTCCATTGGCAGTATACAGTCCCACATAGACTGTCTCTCTCACTGAGATGTCAGTATCATCATGGACAGCATTAGTTGGAATATCACAGCGATAGATACCAACAGTTGGTGAGTTAATGTGACGGTTACGACGTATGTCAACTCCCTGACCCCAACGAAACTCATAGGTATCATAATATGCATTGAAAGGCAGTCTAGTTCCATTAGGGAAATACCAGTCTCCACGATAAGAACCATCATTAACACTACAACATGTGGTCAGATCAGTGATACACTGAACAGCTTCACTATCACCAATGTCAGGTCTCCACACTTCACTGACGTCCACATAGGAATGGTTGGCCAGAGTCTGGCCCATGAAGGAGACGTAAGGAAAGGTCTGTTGAGAGTGGACCTCCACCAGAGACCAGAGGAGACTCAGCAGTAACACCCGCATACTCATGCAATTGTCTTTCTCTCTCACTTTCTGGATGTCTAAGCTATAGCACTCAACTGGGTTATACGTAGATTTTGAGCAGTAAATGACGTCTCTGGATCAACAGTCAACACACAAGCCGTGTGCAAGTGCAAACCAAGTAGCTAGCAGGTTATACACTTTACAAAAAAATCTAAAATGAATGTTTTGTGTAAGGGGTTTGTCACTTTTACCTGTAGGTTGAAAGTACACAAAAACGAAGAATGGTAACTTATTATATCTTCCCACAAACAAGTAGCAAACACCATTTGCTGAATTGCTAAAGAAAACATGCTGTGGTTGAGTTCTAAACCATCACTTCCTCTCTCCTCCCTTCTTCCCCAGTATGCATGGTGGCATCATTTGGAAACTGAACCACTAGGATTATGACCAGGTTCAAGGCACATGACTCTGTTCACCTATTACCATCAGTCTATTGTGTAACAGTTTCATTTTGCCTGAGACTAGACTGCAAAAATCTCTGTCATTATCGACTCTTGTTTCTTGCTCAGAAGGTTTTTAAATGGTCTAAGGAACCTGGGGATTTGTCGGTATACTTTTAGCTGACTGAGAAAAGTTTGTGATCCCAATCCTGCTTCTAAACAAGTTACTTTCGACGTCTAAGGTGCTATTCGATTAATGCGTTCTGATTGCATTACTTTACGTAACACTTTCTTAGCATCTGCTTGTAGTCTGAAAAGGCTCGTGTGAGTAGCTAAACAAGACAGTGCACAATTTTGAACGTTTTGATGAGAGAATAGTGCGTGAGTCTAATTAAACAGCATATATGTAAGTACTGAACAAATCTCTATAGTCCTACAGTATACGTTCACTTGTCCTCTCCTGGTATCATCTCATACATCTTCTCTTCCTCAATCGGTCCAAAATCTGACGATGGTGAGATGTTCTGGCTTTCTCTTCGTCATCCCATAGGACCCACTCTAGGCTTGCGGTAATTATCGGGAATAATTTCGAAATAATAGCAAAGCAAAAGCAGCAAGCATAATCCGGTGCATAATAGCAAAGACACACGCGCGCGCACACCGCGCCTACTTTTATAATTATGCGGGCCGCATTACACGTGGCACGATGTCGTCGTCCTCGCTCGCTCCGGGTCGCCCGAGCAGCAGTGCGAGCACGACGTCAAGCCGTGCGAGGATGGGTCAGGCTCTTCTGTACCTTCTACGTCCTGCAGCAGCGTGCGTTACCCGGCGCTATGGCGCTAAAATCAGCGCCAAGCACAATTTTCAGAGAAAATGAAGCGCCGGGTCCTAGCTCTTGCCTACGCGTCTCTGCGCAATACGGGCACACGCGAACGTGGAGTTACCGGTTGTTAGCTGAACTTTGCAATTGGGTATAGCGCCAAGGCCGTCCCTGGCGCCATGTTTTTGGCCCCAGAGATGTTGCAGGTTGACACCCCTGTTAGTAAAGCAGGCGCCTCTGGCCAGCACCAACAGGAAAAGGAAAGTTGCGGCGCAACAGGGCTTAACATTGCAAGATTATATTATGTTCTCCATCTGTTGTAGGTCATTTTTGATCAGGTTTTTTGAGCATAATTTGGGAATAATAGCAGCAAACCGTAAGAATTGTAGCAACAAAATATGAGCATTAAAGAATAGAATAATACCCAAAAAAAGTGGCATAATTATCTCAAGCCTAACCCACTCACTAACTTCAATCTTCCACATACCTACCTTGCTTACTTTAAGGTCTTTTTTTCTTGTTCAAACGTGAATTTTATGCAGTAATAAGTTTCAACGGGTACATAACTGCATTTTGGGAGTTTGTAAATGCATTAATGGGTGACTATTGTTGATACTTCATGGCAAGTTTTTTTTTCAAAATTCTCAAGCCTTCATAATTCACAAGTACTTTTCCATGCATTCTGTGCACGAAAACACTAGGTGTACACAGTTTTCTCAAAATTATGCACATTGTATATATGGCGTTCTGCGCATTATACGGTGAATCGAATCTGGTGCTATACTTTTGGAATGGAACAATGAGTGGTATAATAATTATATATATACTATAATAATGGAAAATTAGAGCTGGGTAATTTAAATTGCGCAATCTGATTGGTCCGTGCGCGGACTCTAATTCGAGTAGAGCGAATTTTCCGGACTCTAAATAAAACTTTCTCCGGACTCTAAATTTGGCGCATGCGCAATGGCTCACTTACGTTGGGCGGAGTCCCCCAACGGTCTGCGAAGGTGTATAGAGTCGAGCCCGTTGTCGACGTCCTCCCTGGGCCTCTCGCTTGACTTCCCAGCGATAAAGCAGCGCTCGTTCGCGGTTTCAGATGCACCGAATTTGAATTGCGCGCACGCGTTGCCATAGCTCTAAACAAGTTAGACGCCTCGTCCATGGAAACTACGCGCATTAGAGCGCCTTGGGGGCCCTTAGTAGCGTCCTCGCTGCGCTCGAACGCCGACAGCCCGGGGCCCCCGCGGCTCTCTAATGCGCGTAGTTTCCTGGACTCGGCATCTAACTTATATATAAAGTACGTCACACCAGAAAATAAACTATGTCCAAAATCACCAGAGAAAATACGTGAAAATTAAGGTGTACAGTAAAGACTAAAAGAAGGGGTTGACTTACATGCGAATATTGCCAAGCCAGCTAAGAAGCATTTATATACACAACATTACGGTGTACAGGTAAGAGTCTGTTATTATGTAATCTGAGGCAATCAAAATCCAAGGGGTGTGTCCTAACAAGCTTGAGCATTTCAGGTAATTACAGTCAGTTTTCTGCAGAGATAGTCTCATATTACATATCATCCTCTGCTGCCCCGTGAGAAGAGGTCTCGATGGGAGGGAGGGTTATTTCATAAGACTCGTCCTCAGTAGTGGTTTCTGGAAGGGTGGCTTCCTCAGTAGTGGTTTCTGGAGGTGTGGCTTCATGAGACTCTTTGTTGGCAGTTGGAACTTTGTCTGTGTCACTTTCCATGGGTTCGTACTCCTGCTGTGGGGCTATCATCTCATAGGCTCTGTTGGTACCCATGTTATAGGGCCTGTGTGGAGGAATGCTGCAGTATTACTAGCTGTGCATACGAGTGGGTAATGGTGCATGTGCTGTGTGTCAGCTATGGGTTAACTTCGCAATCTAAATTATATCTTTCTCTGTGGCACTATTACTGAAAATTTATACATACAGTATTACTTATGTGATAGGTATATTATAAGTTAGTACATCACTGAAGGTTTTTTGGTTATTTATATATATTCCTGTGTGAATGTGTAAACGATGGAGGTGGCATAATTATGTATTTACTGCTCATTGGTCTTGGTTGGTACACCACCCCCCCGGCGAATCTTCCACACTATTGTTGTAGAAGTAACAGCTATCACGATGGCAACAATAACAACCACCACTCCTGCAACTACTGAAGGGGTGTTGTTGGAAGATGAGCCAACTGCATCTGTAGAAGGTGGAGGGGTGTAGGAGCACTCTGGATCACTGGGAGAAGTAGTTGCCACTGAGCAGTTAGCATCGATAGTCATCAGTACTCCAGTCACAATGACACTGGCCCTGCCTCCTCTCACCCAGGCCTCTATCAGAGAGATGAGGGAGCCACTGTCCCTCTCTGACGTCCACCCCAGTCTGGCTCGATATGTCAGGAATGACGGAGATTCCTCAAAACAGGAAAACGACTGTTCATCCAACATATCGCTACTACATTCGGCGCATCCTGCTTTCAATATCTGTACGATTTTGGTTTCAATGTCTTTTAGTTTCTGCTCTGTAAGAGTAGCCTGAGGAAATCACAATGCAAACTTATTTTAAGAAATGAGTAGCAGCGCCCTTACTATTACTTCAGAGCACGGAAGTACACTCTGGAGTCGTAGCTGAAAATATTTATCTGCAGAAGGGAGTGAACTAAACAAAACTGAAATAGTGCTGGAATTCTCAGCTTACAATCTTTTGTAGTGAAAGTGACAACAGCAGGAGGTCCAGATCCCTGGCTATTTTCAGCAGTCAGAGAACAGGAGTAGAGAGTGTTGGGAGAGAAGCCAGTGGCAGTGAGGCTCTCAGACTGGGAGGATGGGGACTGGGGGAGGGAGGAGGGGGAGGGGGAACAGGAGAGGCTGTAGCTGGTGATGACTCCATTTTGTTGGGTGGGAGGTGGGGGAGACCAGGAGAACTCCACCTCTCTCTCTCCAGCTACTGCCCCCAACATCTCTGGAGCATTAGGAGCTGTTTATTGACTTTAGTTGATTACTACATACTAACAGTAATGTACAGATTAAGGCATATTTTTTACCTGTTACATTTAAACTAGCTGAATCATTGGATGGCTTGTTATTAGCCACAGTACATGTGTAGAGTCCAGGAAATCTCCCAGTCACAGTCAGAGTGTGAGTGTAGTTTGCAGTCACTGGGTCATTTAACACAGTCTGGGTTCCTTGGGTGACAGTGGTGGAGTCTCTGGTCCAAGTGACAGTGGTAGCAGGTCCACCAGTGGAGATACAGGCCAGGGTGAACTGAGGACTGGCTCCAAGGGCTTCGGAGAACTCAATTTCACCTGCTGATATTTTAATGTCTCCTACAAAAATAACCGTTTTGACAATCATAACAGCCCTACAATTCGTGGTCTGACATCTAGATTATTCTAAAGAATGCAGACAAAGCATGACAGCCTGAAAGTAACTGGTTACCTCCACTGGCAGTATAGAGTCCCACATAGACTGTGTCTCCCACTGAGATGTCAGTATCATGATGGACAGCATTAGTTGGAATATCACAGCGATAGATACCAGTTGATGAGTTAGCATTAGTGTTACGACGTATTTCAACTCCCTGAGATACACGAACCTCAAAGGTATCAACATTAGGTGCAGCGAAAGGCAGTCTAGTTCCATTAGGGAAATACCAGTCTCCACGATGAGCACCATTTGTATAATTACAACATGTGGCCAGGTCAGTGATACACTGAACACCTACACCACCAGCACCATCAGGTCTCCCCACTAGACTGGTGTTCACATAGGAATGGTTGGCCAGAGTCGTGCCATTGAAGGAACCATAAGGAAAGGTCTGAGAGTGGACCTCCACCAGAGACCACAGGAGACTCAGCAGTAGCACCCACATACTAATGCAGTTGTCTTTCTCTTAAATATCTGTGTCGAAGCCACAACAAAACTCAACTGGGTTGTAGATTGAGCAGTACCACTTACAATTCCTCCGTATCCACATACAACACGCAACCAAACCAGTGCAACCCAAGTAGCTAGCAGGTAAAGCAATCTTATACAAATCTAAGATGAAGGTTTTGTGTAAAGGGTTTTTCACTTTTACCTGTGTTTAAAGGAAAGTAGACAAAATGGAGAATGGTAACCTATCTTCCCGTAAACAAGTAGGAGACACCATCTGCTGTAGTGTTAAAGACAACATGCCGTAGTTGAGTTAAAGGCTTTTTTAAGCCCTCATCCTCCTACTCACCCCCATCCCCACCTTCTCTCCCAGACTGGCGACATCATGTGGATGGGAAACTGAACCACTAGTATTACGACATGGTTCAAGGCACATGCATGGCTGAGACTGGATTGTAACAATCTCTCCCATTTATCGACTCTTGTTTATTGCTCAGATGGTTTTAAGGATGGTCTCAGGGACCTGGGAATTTGTCAGTATAATAATTATACTTTTAGCTGGCTGAGAAAATTTTGTGATCCCAATCCTTCTTCTAAACAAGTGACTTTCGACCTCTAAGCCTCGATTTATACTTATTGATTGCATCACTTTACACCTTCTGAGCATCTGCAAAGAATCGTGTGTGAGAAGCTAAACAAAACAGTGCACAATTTTGGAAATGTATGTAGTGCATGAGGAAATAGTGTGCGAGTCTAATTAAAGAGTATTATAAGTACTGAACAAATCTACAAATCCTACAGTATACGTTCACTTGTCTTCTCCTGGTATCATTTCATACATCTTATCTTCCTCAACCGGTCCAATATCTGACGATGGTGAGATGGTAGGGGCACCCCCTATCTTCTCTGGCTTTCTCTTCGTCATCCCATAGGACTGACTCACTAACTTCAATCTTCCACATACATACCTTGCTTACTTTAAGGTCTTCTTTTCTTGTTCAAACGTGGATTTTATGCAGTGTAATATGTAGGGATGGATGTATGATTTTTGTTGTCGGTTAAAGCATCTTCTTGTTGGCATCCTTTTTCATAATTTACGCCATCCCTACATCCCCCTTCATTTTGAAGAAATGATTTTTCCACTTGTTCCACTTATTTTTTTAGCGCATGCTAAGGCCCACCGGCCCCACCCTTTTCGCGCAGCAGAGCGAGGGGGGCTGCTGCGTATTATATAGTAAGGACGCGCGCGCGATCTGGGTCCCCCCCGGGCCCGGGCCCCAGCTAGGCCGGGTTACGTAATAATTTCCGCGCACTTGCGCGCGCCTCTCGTATATAGGCGCATGCGAGACAAAATATTATTCAACAATGCATGTGATTTGTTGTGCAGGAGAGTTCACTCTTCTGAAGAGGTCCATCTACCCAGCTGAAGTAAAGCATAAAACTAACCCAACATTCATTGTACAATATGCTTTGTTGTGAATTGTGAAGGAAAGTTTTTTCTTTAGGAGAGGTCTATTCCAGCTGAAGTGAAAGGTGTAGAGGCCAAATCAGGGGTATATAGCTAGTAGCAAGCAGGCAGTAGGAGCCAGAAGTTTGCAGGGTTCAGGGTCTAGCTTGAGAGTGCAGTTGCAGTCCAACCCCTATATAGACAGAATATATAGATAGTATGCACCATCAAGTGAAACACGAAGCATAATACAGAGGAGTAGACAGACAAGGCTAGGTCAGAAGTGGTATATATAAGGGTGCAGGAATGTATAATACAAGTCAGCAGTGGTGATAAGGGGTAGGAAAACACTTCAGAGCCCCACCTGCCCAGCAACTCCCAGATAATCTTATAAGTATAGGTTAACGCTTGGTTCTGAAGCTGTACAGGCATATCCCGAAGCTGTTTACTCTAGCACCAGGGGGTAGAGTAAACAGCTGAGGGGATATCCAGTACCCCTGAAGGTAACCAAGGCGTTAACCAATTTGTAGCCTAGCAACCGTACTAATTGCCTAGCAAGCATATCATTTTACCTGGGTTGTGAGAGAAATCGGTGGGCGAGACGAGGGAAAGCAGGCCGAGAGCAAGCTTGCGTGAACCCATGCTGCCTGTTGACCGTTTGTTCGAGCGATTACTACTTTAGCTAGCGGTGTAGCGTGCAATTGTAGCGGGCTGCTGTAGCGCGGACCAAGCAGAGAAGACAAGACTCCGCGCAGACCTGGAATGACGTTCTTTGGAGTCTCCTTCGTATACCACGTACGCTACAGCTCAGCTATGGTGCAGCTAAGCTGACATTTTTGAACAGCGTGTTCAAAACGACACAAGTGACGCACGGCACACAGCCCTCTCGCTCCAGCTCTCGCCTTTTTCTGGCTTGCGTGCGCATCTTCTCGCTTACTGGCTCCCACTTTTCCCTTGCGTGCCAGCTTGGGATGTAGCCACAGCCATCTACAGCTTACCAAGAAAGGTCACTGGCCATTGTTTGCTCATTAGATCGTTGTGTAAACTGTGGCTACCCAGCCAGTGAATACTCATATTGACTCAATTAAAGGCAACCACACATACTTGGGATATGTGTATTGATGTGCTGGCTGCTTGGGTACTGGGAATACTACTAGCTTGGTGCCTTTGAAAATCAGCAAACCTAGGTTACAATGGCTGGTTATCCTTCCCACTGTCTGCATTACCTCTATAGTGCAGCAATATTTTTCTTAAATGGGCTCACAGCTGCCTTTCCTTACCAGGGTCAGCATGATAGGTGGCCCTTTACCTTACCAGGGTCAGACCGACAAAGGGATCTACCTCTAGCCTTTATATTCTCAGAATTATGCACATAATATCTACTGCCCTCCTTCTTTTCGAGTGATAACGCAAAAACTGAACTTATCTCAAAGGATGGAGAAGCCCAGGTGGCAGTGGTGACAGCAGAGCAGTGGTAGAGCGCAGTGGAGGGCCTTGCGACTGAAAGAACAGGGTGGGTTCTTGTTATCAGCCACGACTGTCAGCAGAGAAGTGCTGGCTAGAGGCCGAGGGGGTGCAGAAGGTTGAACTGGAAGGAGAGTCGTCAGGCACCCCTTATTAAAATAGGCAATGAGGGAATGCAGACAACTTGCAGGGGTTACCTTGAAACATAATTAACTGTGGCCACAAACCCAAGCTGCAGTAGAGTACAGACCTTGGAGTAAAGTATACGTGATGATAATTGCAATAGCAAGACTTACTTTTGACCGTGGCGACTACAGCACAATACTCAGCAGTGCGGACAAGACAGACACGGAGTGTCACGTGAAGGTGACAACGTCAGATTGTGGCCGTCCCGTGGAACCTCGAAAGAAAATTGGCAATGAGCTGGATTGCAGCTAGCTAAAGTACACACAACAGTAGCTCCTTACCAAAAGACGCATAGCTAGGCCGAAATTCGGGAGCAAACCCAGGCGAGTGAAAAACCAGCGGCCGCACGACGGGGGGACCACGTGGTCCGCTCTAACGCGCGCCGCGCCCCTGTCTGGCGCATGCATGCGCACGGCCGGCTCACTGATGCTGCTGAGTTAGCAGCAAATATGGCGTTGTTCAGTGTCGACCATGGAAGAGCTCCATGATCTACCGTAGTGACTTGCGGCAAGAAAGAAATGATCGCTTGATGTCCGTGCACACCTCCGGCGAAATTGGAGACGTTCAGTGAAAAAATCAGCGCTTCAGCTGGTACTGGTAAGGAGATAGCGGGTTTAAAGAAGAAGAAGATGAAGAATATGATGACACGAAAATCAGAAATCGCGTATGAGCAGATTCTCGTGTCGAGAATTGCAGGGACGTATGAAACTTTTGGGCATGTGTATAGGTAGATATGGACCCGTGAGTGATTTGTGGTGTGTTTTGAAGGCATAGCTAGCCATTCTCGCCGAGTTTCGAGGCGTTTTGTATGCGGATCACGTGAGATTTCACTCGTGTCATCCCTACATAGAGCGTCTACCGACGCTCTGATACGTGAAAATTAAGGTATACAGTAAGACTAAAACAAAGTCAATGAAGGGGTTGACTTACATATTATTGCCAAGCCAGCTAAGAAAAAAGCATTATACACAGCATTACGGTGTACAGGTAAAAGTCTGTTATTATGTAATCTGAGGCAATCAAAATCCAAGGGGTGTGTCCTAACAAGCTTGAGCATTTCAGGTAATTACAGTCAGTTTTCTGCAGAGATAGTCTCATATTACATATCATCCTCTGCTGCCCCGTGAGAAGAGGTCTCGATGGGAGGGAGGGTTATTTCATAAGACTCGTCCTCAGTAGTGGTTTCTGGAAGGGTGGCTTCCTCAGTAGTGGTTTCTGGAGGTGTGGCTTCATGAGACTCTTTGTTGGCAGTTGGAACTTTGTCTGTGTCACTTTCCATGGGTTCGTACTCCTGCTGTGGGGCTATCATCTCATAGGCTCTGTTGGTACCCATGTTATAGGGCCTGTGTGGAGGAATGCTGCAGTATTACTAGCTGTGCATACGAGTGGGTAATGGTGCATGTGCTGTGTGTCAGCTATGGGTTAACTTCGCAATCTAAATTATATCTTTCTCTGTGGCACTATTACTGAAAATTTATACATACAGTATTACTTATGTGATAGGTATATTATAAGTTAGTACATCACTGAAGGTTTTTTGGTTATTTATATATATTCCTGTGTGAATGTGTAAACGATGGAGGTGGCATAATTATGTATTTACTGCTCATTGGTCTTGGTTGGTACACCACCCCCCCGGCGAATCTTCCACACTATTGTTGTAGAAGTAACAGCTATCACGATGGCAAACAATAACAACCACCACTCCTGCAACTACTGAAGGGGTGTTGTTGGAAGATGAGCCAACTGCATCTGTAGAAGGTGGAGGGGTGTAGGAGCACTCTGGATCACTGGGAGAAGTAGTTGCCACTGAGCAGTTAGCATCGATAGTCATCAGTACTCCAGTCACAATGACACTGGCCCTGCCTCCTCTCACCCAGGCCTCTATCAGAGAGATGAGGGAGCCACTGTCCCTCTCTGACGTCCACCCCAGTCTGGCTCGATATGTCAGGAATGACGGAGATTCCTCAAAACAGGAAAACGACTGTTCATCCAACATATCGCTACTACATTCGGCGCATCCTGCTTTCAATATCTGTACGATTTTGGTTTCAATGTCTTTTAGTTTCTGCTCTGTAAGAGTAGCCTGAGGAAATCACAATGCAAACTTATTGTAAGGATGAGTAGCAGCTCCCTTACTATCACTTCAGAGCATGGAAGTACACTCTGGAGGCGTAGCTGAAAATACTTATCTGCAGAAGGGAGTGCACTACACAGAACTGAAATAGTGCTGGAATTCTCAGCTTACAATCTTTTGTAGTGAAAGTGACAACAGCAGGAGGACCAGATCCCTGGCTATTTTCAGCAGTCAGAGAACAGGAGTAGAGAGTGTTGGGAGAGAAGCCAGTCACTGATAGAGAGCCAGAGGACTGGGAGGAGGGGGACTGGGGGAGGGAGGATGGGGAGGGGGAGCAGGAGAGGGTGTAGCTCGTGATGGCTCCATTTTGCTGGGTGGGAGGTGGGGGAGACCAGGAGAACTCAACTTCTCTCTCTCCAGCTACTGCCCCAAACATCTTTGGAGCATTAGGAGCTGTTTTCGGAAATAAAGTCTAGTCAATTACCACCCTCGGCGCACTGCGCATGCGCGGTACCGCTAATAGTTGATGGGTTGGGCTAAGAATACGCGGCTAGTAGCTCGCGGAGAGTCTGACGCGGGCTAGCTACACTAGTAGATAGCATGCGGGAGTCAATACATGCCCTTAGATGTGACTTCTTGAGCCTCCAAGGTACACAGAGAGAGCGAATCAGGTAACGGTAAGCGCAGTTCGATTATGCAATTGGCTTTTTAGCTTGTTTCACTGCATATCTCTCGAACGCAGTCGTTTCACCTTTTTATTTTCAGGCTCGCGTAGTTCTGAAGCCGCTGGTATCACTAATAGGCTTCTTTTTTTTTTCATTTTTTTTTTCAACGTAAACAACAAGCTACTATATATACTCAATAAACGACCAAACAATACAAAACAAACAAAGCAAACAAAACAGAAGTCAATATAAAACAGACGAAAACACAAAAACAAAAACAAACAAACAAAACAAACAAAACAACAGACAGATTAAATAATCCACCTCGTAGCCTGTAGTGCCAGAATAAGCATCGACACACAGACAGACAGACAGACAGACAGGCAAACCAACTACTGTAACCCTTGCTGTGCATGCGCACCGAGGGTTAATAACATGTACAGTATTATTTAAGGTTATCATCATTACCTGTTACATTTAAACTAGCTGAATCAATGGATGGCTTGTTATTAGCCAGGGTACATGTGTAGAGTCCAGGCAGTCTCCCAGTCACAGTCAGAGTGTGGGTGTACTGTGCAGTCACTGGGTCATTCAACACAGTCTCAGTTGTTCCTTGGGCGACATTGGTGGAGTCTCTGGTCCAAGTGACAGTGGTAGCAGGTCCACCAGTGGAGATACAGGCCAGGGTGAACTGGGGACTGGCTCTATTGAGGTCTGAAACTTCTGAGAATACTATATCTCCATATATCACAACATCTCCTATAACAACAGTTGTGATAGTCATACATTATCGTTTTATCGTTTACAAAGTGAATGCAGCCCCAGCACGTAGTTTTACCTCCATTGGCAGTATACAGTCCCACATAGACTGTGTCTCTCACTGAGATGACTTTATCATCATGGACAGCAGCAGTTGGAATATAACAGCGATAGATACCAGTTGGTGAGTTAGCATTAGTGTTACGACGTATTTCAACTCCCTGCCGTACACGAACCTCAAAGGTATCAACATTAGGTGCAGCGAAAGGCAGTCTAGTTCCATTAGAGAAATACCAGTCTCCACGATGAGCACCATTTGTATAATTACAACATGTGGCCAGGTCAGTGATACACTGAACACCTACACCACCACCACCACCAGCACCATCAGGTCTCCCCACCAGACTGAGGTCCACATAGGAATGGTTGGCCAGAGTCATGCCATTGAAGGAGACATAAGGAAAGGTCTGAGAGTGGACCTCCACCAGAGACCAGAGGAGACTCAGCAGTAGCACCGACATACTCATACCTGCATACTGCGAACGTCGCCGAACGATCACGCGCAACAACGCCGAATATCAATTGCGCATGCGCATGCGCAAAGATGGAGCGCCCTGGCTCGCTCGGAAAAAGTTGACCCAACGCGCGTTGCTGCGTTACTAAAAATAGTTGCGCCTAAAAGTCCACTAACTAGTTCTCTATCAGTAACGTAATATCTATCCAGTCAGTTGTCCTCTCCAGGGATCACCTCGTACACCTCCTCAGACTCAGGGAGTTTGGGGAGAGACATCTTGTGAGGGACGAGGAGGAGGTGAGGGACAGAGGATAATATCGTATTCTCCTTCGTCCCCAGCTCTCAGTGGGATCTCATACGCCCCAGTCACCTTCCCTTCCTCCTTTACTGTGTGGTAGGCAGAGTTGGTGGAGGTTGGAACGACTCCAGGAGAACCTGGTACTAGACTCATCTCAAACCTGGGAGAATGAAAACAAAGAGCTAGTCTGTAGCCCAGTGTATGTTAGGAGGAACAACAGCTATAGCATTCCTCACTCACAGTGAATATTGACTGTATATCTAATGCCATTTAGCACATGTATTTACATAGTGATAAAACCAGTAGCCACTTTTCGTTGAAACTAACTTTTCAGCAGTCTTTGTAGACAGTCGACGATTCTTGAGGACCAGAGCAACGACAATGACAATAGCAACGACAATGATGAGCACAATTGCCACAGCAACCCCTCCAATAACGGTGGTAGCATTGTCATTTGCTGCAGCAGAGTTCTGAGAGGAGAGAGTAAGGTCCTCTGTACCAGAGTCTTCAGTAGAAGTCTCTTTGGTCGGAGTCATACTGGGAGGCAGAGTTTGGGTGAGGGAAGGTTTAGGTTCATTGGGTGGTGGGGAAGGTTTAGAGCACTCTGGATCACTGGGAGAAGAGATAGCCACTGAGCAGTTAGCATCGATAGTCATGAGTACTCCAGCCACAATGACACTGGCCCCGGATCCTCTCACCCAGGCCTCTATCAGAGAGATGAGGGAGCCACTGTCTGTCTCTGACGTCCCCTCCAGTCTGGCTCGATATGTCAGGAATGACGGAGATACCTCAAAACAGGAAAACGACTGTTCATCCAACACATTACTACTGCATTCGGCTCATCCTGCTTTCAATATCTGTATGATCTTGGTTTCAATGTCTTTTAGTTTCTGCTCTGTAAGTGTCGCCTATGGTGATAGTGTTCACAGAATTCAAATTAAGTCAAGAAGTTAGGATGATGCTTACTATCACGTTTAGGCAAGGCAATACTCCTTTAAGTCGCAGTTGAAAATAGGCATCTGAAAGAAGATGATCAGGCAGTCAAATTGAGTTTAAATGAAAGAAAGAAGGCTTACAGTCTTGCTGGGTAGTGACAGTGACAACAGCAGGAGGTCCAGATCCCTTACTATTGTTAGCAGTCAGAGAACAGGAGTAGAGAGTGTTGGGAGAGAAGCCAGTCACTGAGAGAGAGCCAGAGGACTGGGAGGAGGGGGACTGGGAGAGGGAGGAGGGGGAGGGGGAGCAGGAGAGGGTGTAGCTGGTGATGACTCCATTTTGCTGGGTGGGAGGTGGGGGAGACCAGGAGAACTCCACTTCTCTCTCTCCAGCTACTGCCCCAAACATCTCTGGAGCATTTGGAGCTGTTTTTGGAATTAAGTCTTTTGTCTATTCTAACATTAATGTAATCAAGGTTATCATTTACCTGTTACATTTAAAGTAGCTGAATCAATGGATGGCTTGTTATTAGCCACAGTACATGTGTAGAGTCCAGGCAGTCTCCCAGTCACAGTCAGAGTGTGGGTGTACTGTGCAGTCACTGGGTCATTCAACACAGTCTCAGTTGTTCCTTGGGCGACATTGGTGGAGTCTCTGGTCCAAGTGACAGTGGTAGCAGGTCCACCAGTGGAGATACAGGCCAGGGTGAACTGAGGACTGGCTCCAAGGGCTTCGGAGAACTCAATTTCACCTGCTGATATTTTAATGTCTCCTACAAAAATAACCGTTTTGACAATCATAACAGCCCTACAATTCGTGGTCTGACATCTAGATTATTCTAAAGAATGCAGACAAAGCATGACAGCCTGAAAATAACTGGTTACCTCCACTGGCAGTATACAGTCCCACATAGACTGTGTCTCTCACTGAGATGTCAGTATCATCATGGACAGCATTAGTTGGAATATCACAGCGATAGATACCAGTTGTTGTTGAGTGAACATGATGGCTACGACGTATTCAACTCTCTGAGCTACACGACCTCAAAGGTATCAACATCAGGTGCAGTGAAAGGCAGTATAGTTCCATCAGGGAAATACCAGTCTCCACGATAAGCACCATCACTACCAGTACAACATGTAGCCAGGTCAGTGATACACTGAACACCTTCACCACCACCATAATCATCAGGTCTCCCCACTAGACTGAGGTCCACATAGGAATGGTTGGCCAGAGTCTGGTCCATGAAGGAGAGACGGGGAAAGGTCTGAGAGTGGACCTCCACCAGAGACCAGAGGAAACTCAGCAGTAGCGCCCACATACTCATGCATTGTCTTTCTCTTAAATATCTGTCGAAGCCACAACAAAACTCAACTGGGTTGTAGATTGAGCAAGTACCACTTACAATTCCCTTCCGATCCCAATACAACACGCAACCAAACCAGTGCAACCCAAGTAGCGAGCAGGTAAGCGGAATCTATACTACAAACTCTAGGATGACGTTTGTGTAAAGAGTGGGTGGGTTCACTTTTACCGTGTTGGGTGATAGGAGAAAGTAGACAAAATGTGACTGGTAACCTCTACTCCGATAAACAAGTAGGAGACACCATCTGCTGTAGTGTTAAAGACAACATGCCGTAGTTGAGTTAAAGGCTTTTTTAAGCCCTCATCCTCCTACTCACCCCCATCCCCACCTATCTCCAGACTAGCCCGACATCATTGTGGATTGGAAACGTGAACACTAGCTATTACGACATGGTCAGGCACAGCATGGTCTGAGACTGGATTGTAACAATCTCTCTCCATTTATCGACTTCTTGTTTATTGCTCAGATGGTTTAAGGATGGTCTCAGGGACCTGGGAATTGTCAGTATAATAATTATACTTTTAGCTGGCTGAGAAATTTTGTGATCCCAATAATCCTTCTTCTAAACAAGTGACTTTCGACTCTAAGCCTCGATTTATCTTATTGATTGCATCACTTTAACACCTTCTGAGCATGCAAGATCGTGTGTAGAACTAAACAAAACAGTGCACAACTAATGAAAATGTATTTAGTCATGAAGGAAATAGGTGCGAGTCTAAATTAAAGAGTATATAAGTACTGAACAAATCTCCAATCCTACAGTATACGTTCACATGTCCTCCTCCGGGTATCATTTCATACATCTTATCTTCCTCAACCGTCCAATATCTGGACGATGGTGAAGATGGTACGGCAAACCCCTATCTTCTCTGGCTTTTCTCCTCGTCACCCATAGGACCTGACTCACTACTTCAATCGTTCCACATACATACCTTGCTTACTTTAAAGGTCTTCTATTTCTTGTTCAAACTTGGATATTATGCATGTAATATGTAAAGGGATGGATGTAAATGATCTTTGTTGTCGGTTAAAAGCATCTTCTTGTTGTCATCCCTTTCAATAATTTACTGCCATCCCGACATCCACCCCCTTCAGACATTTGAAGAAATGATTTCCACTTGTTCCACTACATTTTTTTGCGCAATGCTAACGCCCCACCACCCCACCCTTTTCGCGCAGCAGAGCGAGGGGG